CAACTCTGATATTCTATGATTCTATGATTCTATGAATTGCCAAAGTGACTTAAGGAGCACAAATCACAGACTTTCACTGAAACCTGTGCTCCTGACTCTTAGGCACTTTTGAAAATTCTACCATTGTACCTTTTGGACCAAAGAATATTACTAAAGATGTTGGCTGGACCATGTGAAATATCAGCATCAGAACTAGCACATTAATTAAAACATATAGAATGATTCTGAACCAGCTGCTTACAACCTGCAGATGTTCTCAATGCAGGAGTTGAGGCTCCCTGGCGGGTAAGGGCTGGTCCACAGTGGGGCAGGGGATCGATCTAGGAAACGCAACTTCAGCTACGAGAATAGGGTAGCTGAAGTCGATGTTTCCTAGATTGAACTAAGTTAACTTACTGCGGGTCCACGCGGCGCAGGCAAGCTCCCCCGTCGACAGAGCTTCCTCCTCTCAGCGAGCAGGAGTTCCGCAGTTGAGAGGGGAGCGCTTCTGGGATCGATTTATCGCGTCCAGATGAGACACGATAAATCGCTCCCAGAAGATCGATCTCTACCCGCCGAATCAGGCGGATAGTGTGGACCTAGCCTAAGTGTGGAGACATGTGCATTGACACTGCCTGAAGCACATTTCTGCGTAAATATAGAGGACTCCAGTTTTATAACAGTGTTAAATTAACAATTTTGTTAATTTTGCATATTGAAAAAGTAGGTTCTTCAACAATCATACAAAAATTGTCATTTTCCCCCTCATTTTTTTAATCATACCCTTTGTTCAGCTACCCTCACTCCACCCTAAAAACACTTTGTTAGATGCGTCCTCCTCCTCATCCATCGAAGTATAAACTTTTATTGGAGGTTGGGGGGAGGATTGCAAAAAAAAAAAAAAAAAAAAGAGTGTGTATCTAGTAATGTTCTTGCCAAGACAGAAAACACCACATAAGCCAAAAACATGATGCAGGATGGTTGTCCCATTGGCACAGGACATCCTGCATGACAGTGCTAAGAACTATGGCAATGGGTGCTTTAGAACTATACACAGACAGATTGAAAAGAAAAAACCTTGAATGGCTCTAAGCAGACTTTATTTCTGTTGAAACTGGCAGATACCAGAGGATTGCATGTTTTGTATGTGAGTATAGCAGACAGTGTTTTGACACCCAGTTGCACAAAGTATGACAAAAAACAGCCTTGCTTTAGTTCAGCTGTTACTAAGCAAAATTGCCATAGAGGTGTGTCTTGTTTACACCATACCACACACTTGTTTTATTTAATGCCTGCTTGTATTATTGTATATTTATTTAACACTGCTTGTATTTCTGCTCCAGTATCACAGTTTGTTTTGGGATGTGCTGAAGAGAGGTAATTTTTTTTTTTTTAAATCATTAAACACACACCACACCACACATGTTCTGGGGTTTTTTTTCCTATGAGTATAGCCAGTCACTCTGTTGCAGTGCACACTACCAATGCACTCACCAGCAGAATTAGGGAAGTTATCCTGAGGCATCAATTCTGTCCTCATTTTGTCTTTTCTTGGTCAGGCCTGAACTGAAGCCCAGCAACACTACAAATTTCATTCAATGGGTCAAATTCTGCTCTCATATCTTGCAATAAGTTGCAAGAATAGAATTTGGCCTAATGACACTTAAAGCCCACTGCACAGTAACAATAAGTACTCAAGGTCAATAAAAAGGCTTTTAAAAGTGGTTTTAAAAATACTAAAAATTGTTTAGGACCTCAAATAAACAGAATGTTTAGATTAAAGATTTAAAAAATAAATCAAATTTAAAACAAGAGCTCTATTCTCTACGTTCTTATTCTTTTCTCATCCCCATAGTCTGAGCATCTTTCAGCAGTTCATTAAGCAACATGACCAATATTTATCACGTGTGGTTCATTCTCTTTTATTCTCCCTCCAGCAAAGAAGTGTGTGCATTTGAAGTGCTCTGGTAAATTTCTGCCCACCCAAAACACGTACATGTTATGTGTTCATATTGAGAAAGCAAGGCCAAAGAACTAAGACTAAGCTGAAGATCAGTTCCTCCTTTGCTTAAGTAAGAGGACCCTAAATCTAGATTCTGTATTCCCCGTACTACAGTCAATGGCATTTACAGCTAAAGCAAACTTTGGCCTTTATTTCTCTCATCAGCTCTCAGAGAAGTAAAAAGTCTTTGTCATTAAAAGGAAAAAAAAATTTTATAAATCTTGTGTATTCTGTTAATGATTTTGCAAGCTATTTAGCAATCAAAACAGATTTTTAAAATTCTCCCATTCTAGATCTACCTGACAGTAATGCTGTACACCTAAAAAAAGATTAATATAAGCAAGAGAACATGCAAAAAAACCGAGCCATTTTTCAAAAGAATTGAAGGCTCAGGTTAAAGTCTCAAACTTTTCTTTTTGGAAGTTATCATTTCTGGTCATCCACCCAGCCTCAGTGGCTTTCAAACTGCAAAGGAAGTGTTGGCAGCTATTTGTTATACACAGAGAGAGGGTTTAAAATTGGTGGGCAGGAATCATCTCACTGACCTGGTACCACTAACATTTTCATGACCGAGAGTATCAATTAAATAGAAATAGAAATTAATGGAGATATCCCATCTCCTAGTACTGGAAGGGACTTTGTAGTTATAAAACCTTAATAAACAAAGTCTCTCTCAAAACTCTGTCTGTCACTGCCCTTAGCAGTTAAAGAAAAATAATGATTAAACTATTGCGAACAGCACGTAGCTCATACCTGGAAGCCAACTCAACATAGAAGAATCATGCACTTAATATGTGTTTCTAGGATATGGGCCTATTTTGGCAAAAAGTTACAAAAACACTTCCAAGCGGGATGGCGGGGGGGGCGGGGGGGGAGGGGGAGAGAAAGGGGAGGGGAGAGAAAAAGCGGCCATACCTTTTTCATACGTTTTGCCGCCGGTGTATTTCCTCTCCATTCCTTTTGGCAGTACTCTATGATGTCCATTTCAGGTGCAACACTGAGTTTATTTTCTGCCAAGATTGATCACATTTATATTATTATACACACACATTAAATTAAGGAAAAGTATAAAACAAGGCTACACAATGAAGTAGTTGTACTTTATTCATCAATTCACTCAAAAATAAAACCAGTACTAATCAAAGAAGTTGATGTAGCAGAGCTCATTGCTAATAATAAAAATAGTATCTTCTGTTAGTATCAGAGAAAAAAAAATGCTCAGGAAAGCAGAGAGCAAGCAAAAATGATGGTGTGATCCAGCAAGGAAGTGACCCCAGCAACTCCCCCTTCTCCTCCCCTCCCACCCCCCGGGGGGTGGGGGGAGGGAAGCATGAGAAGGAAAGGGGAGACTGGTAAACTCTCTCCACCCCTGAGCAGCCAGAGAGAATGAAAGGAGAGCTTCCCTCCCTTCCCTCAAAAAGGGAAGAGACAGAGGTGCAAGAACCCCACCCACATTTATCAAACACTTACTAGTTAAGTATGGTAGGAGAAGTTTATTTCCCTAGGCAGGGCTGAGGAACACAGCCCTTCCTGGAAATCCCACAAACTCCTATTCCAAGTAGTTAGTAGCGATGCACTAGCAGTGAAGAACACGGACCATAGATCCCAGGAGCTTTCATGTTGCCTATTAGCTAGTAGTGTTTGATAAATTTTTCAAGCCCTGTTACACATGTACAAGCACAACACACAAAGGTCATCCATCATCAACTTTTTCAATTGGGTGTGAGGAAATTTTGAGAGCGAAAGAGATAAAAATTACAGGTAGACTGTAAAAGTCTGATTGTAGCCAAAGTGATTTTATATTACAGTTTTCACTGGATGAAAATGTGCATTGTGTTCAACTGTGAGCAGTAACCGCCACCACATTTACACACAGATATAGTTGAGCACAAGATCTTTGCGGATGAGGGCAACAAAGCTAGAAGTGTTATAATAATAATAAGCTATTCTACGATACGTGTGTAATGCCATAAACTAAAGTTCAAATGTACCTGAGGAGCCTGTCTCACAAACAGGTAATACTTTTTCTCTCTCTATTTCTTCTGCATCACGGTACATGTCCTCCTCACTGAAATAACATTGATACACACTTCATGTAACACCATAGATCTTGTTGGCATTCACATTTACTCCATTTCCCACTGGATGTAGTAATTTAAATCATTCTCAAAAATATTACTAGAAAATTCAATGTTTTACGATTATCTACCTTTATTATGCATTTTTAAAGGAAATAAAAATCTTAATTATGTGGTGAATGCTTCCCCCCAAAAAAGAGTTAGCTAGATCATATTCTCAGTTCCAGGACATCCATGCCAGTAATAGATTACTGCCTTCTTCCCTAAGATGTGCTCTGCTGGTGATGTGAACCCCACTGAAGACCACATGGAATGGTAAAATAAGCCCCCTTTTTATTTTGTAATTATTTTTACAATATTGGCCAACTCTAACTATGTTTAAAGGGCCTTACTGTTATTTATCATGTGTGATAACACAAGTACTGTAAAAATATATAATAAATTAAAAATACAATACTTACCTTAACCCTATGCACAAGCTCTAACTGGGATTGAACGGCAGTAAAAAGCATGCTAAGGTGTCATACTGAGTAGGAGCCAGTAATCCATGATTGATTTGGATGTCATGAACTTAAAAGACAAAAGCATGTCTTAATACTGATGTACTGCATATTCCTCTAACGGATTCTGCCAGGCATTCAGCATATAATTACATAATAATCTGACCATAACACAACCTCAGCCTTACAAAACTTCATGAATATTTACCATCAAGCATGTTATCTACTCATTTGCTCCCGATTAGAATGGAAAAAAAATACTTTTACTTGCACTTCAAAATCTTAACACCCCCACACTGCTTGCCATGAGAAGAGGGGGGAAAAAAAAAAAAAGAAAGTACAAGACTGCTATGTATTAGTCTCTACTAGCAATTGTTCTAGTCTATGCTTCTATATATTATTAATTAGCATCCAGTACAGTGCCCACAATATGCCTTGCATTGTTCAAACAGAAACAAAAGTAGTGTCCTGCCCCAAAGAGCTTACACCCTGAACAAGACACACAGCTGAAGGGTAGAGGGAAAAGGAACAACAAACTGATGTGGTCAGGTGGTAACTGGATATGTTCTGTTAAAGTTTTAAGAATATGGTTTTTGTTATTTATAGCCTTAACAACATTGTTATTTATAGCTCTTTATTTCTTTTATTCAAGTCTATGCCCACTTATCTTACAAAAATGAACTACAATTTCTGAAATTATTTGCAGAAATACCTTCATGGCCTAACTCATTAGTCCTGTCCACACCAGTCTGAACATGCTAACCACAACTATGCTTAAAAGTACAGTTATCAGGGATTTAGGACAGTTTCAATGATTGTGGGGAGGGATCTTTTTATTCTGAAAACAGTAACACCATAAACAGTCTGATACACAATGTTATGGCATAAATTATAAGATTTGTTTTCGGAAAAACTTTGTCCTCGACTAGCCAGAAAAAAAAAGTTAGACTCAGCTGTGGCCGAACATACTGGAGGCTAGCAAACTCATCTATAGAGCAGAAGACCTACAACAGTTTCAATTTAGACTTTCAGTCATTTAGTTTCAAGTCTTAGTAAAGTCTGCATAGCTAAATACAATTTGATTTCCAAGTTTACGCATCTATGCTTATGAATTTTAATCTCATATCTGACAGAACTGATTATCTGTACTACGTATAAAGTAGGACTCAACCAAGATTCTTCAAGGAGGCTCAAACAACCTTGGAAGACACCAAATTGTTGGCATCACAACATTATCTGAATATTAATTGCTTTTAAATAGTCCTATTTAAACTATTTATACTCAGAGCCATAAATCTCCTTCCTGAAGATTCAAGCAATATCAAATAGATTATAAATAGACAGAATTGTTTTCTGTGACAAATCTTGGTAAGACTGAGTTGTCTTAAGGGGAAAAGCTGTTAATCACATAAAATAGATTCTCATTAAAGATTATATATTTTGGAGTACACTCTCCACCAGCTGCGACTTAGGAACCTGAAAATAGGTTTCTGTACATGCCAAGATATGATGAAATATTTCTAACAGAAATATCAAAGACAGGATCCTTTTTTCAGTATACTTGCTGAGAGGTGTTCAGACAGCCACTAGAGTAATCCACAGTTAACAGCACAATGGCTTTAAAATAGTATTTCATCAAATATCTGTAACTAGACATATTAAAGTTTCACAACACCTTTTGATCTTGGGTGAAGACAGTAAAGCTCAAACATTTTCTGTAATTTCTCTTTGGAAACCTACTCTGTTACAGCGGAGGCTGATATTGACCCTATATATGTAGGTTACCAAACTCCTTCCATTATAAGAGATACTTGCGAGTTCCACACCCCACTCCCATGCCCCTCCCCACCCCGAGTCTGCCGCAGGGAGAAAGCTCCGATACCAGATAAGTGCCTTTTCTTTGTCCTTGAAAATTCTGTTCAGTTCGGCTGACATATAAACTGAGTCACCATTTTCCTTTTGGGAGGAAGGTATGTTACCATTGAACATAATGAATTTTTAAACCTTTTTTGTTTAATTTTTTTTTTTTTTAAATCTAGTAAGTTACAAGTAAGAAAACCGTATTAAAAGAAGGCTATTTAGGATGCAAACTTGACCACTTGAAATTCTGACATTTCATAGAATCAGAACTGGAAGGGACCTCAAGAGGTCATCTAGTCCACTCCCCTGCACTCATGGCAGGACTAATTATCTAGACGATTCTTGACAGGTGTTTGTCTAACCTGCTCTTAAAAATCTCCAATGACGGAGATTCCACAACCTCCCTAGGCAATTTATTCCAGTGCTTAACCACCCTAACAGTTAGGAAGTTTTTCCTAATGTCCAACCTAAACCTCCCTTGCTGCAATTTAAGCCTATTGCTTCTTGTCCTATCCTCAGGTTAAAAAAAAATAAAATAAATAAATAAATAAAATAAAATTCTTCCTCCTCCTTTTAACAACCTTTTACATACTTGAAAACTGTTATGTCCCCCTAAGATGTCTCTTTTCCAGACTAAACAAACAATTTTTTTTTCCAATCTTCCCTAATCGGTCATGTTTTCTAGACCTTTAATCATTTTTTGTTGCCCTTCTCTGGGCTCTCTCCAATTTGTCCACATCCTTCCTGAAATGTGGTGCCCAGAACTGGACACAGTACTCCAGTTGAGGCCTAATCAGAGCAGAGTAGAGCGGAAGAATTACTTCTTGTGTCTTGCTTACAACACTCCTAATATATCCCAGAATGTTGTTCGTTTCTGTTTGTTTGTTGGGGGGGAGCGCGGCAACAGCGTTACACTGTTGACTTATATTTAACCTGTGGTCCACTATGACCCCCAGATCCCTTTCCGCAGTACTCCTACCTAGGCAGTCATTTCCCATTTTGTATGTGTGCAACTGATCGTTCCTTCTAAGTGGAGTACTTTGTATTTTCTTTATTGAATTTCATCCTATTTACTTCAGACCATTTCTACAGTTTATCCAGATCATTTTGAATTTTAATCCTATCCTCCAAAGCACTTGCAACCCCTCCCACCCGGGTATTGTCTGCAAACTTTATAAGCGTACTCTCTATGCCATTATCTAAATCATTGATGAAGATATTGAACAGAACTGACCCAGAACGGATCCCTGCGGAACCCCACTCGTTACGTCCTTCCAGCATGACTGTGAACCACTGATCACTACTCTCTGGGAATGGTTTTGACCAGTTTTGCACCCACCTTATAGTAACTCCATCTAGGTTGGATTTCCCTAGTTTATTTATGAGAAGGTCATGCGAGACAGTATCAAAAGCTTTACTGAAGTCAAGATATACCATGTCTACCACTTCCCCGCAACCACAAGGCTTGTTACCCTGTCAAAGAAAGCTATCAGGTTGGACGGATGCAATTTGTTTTTGACAAATCCATGCTGACTGTTACGTATCTCCTTATCTTCTAGACCGGGGTTGGCAACCTTTCAGAAGTGGTGTGCTGAGTCTTCATTTATTCACTCTAATTTAAGGTTTCACGTGCCAGTAATACATTTTAACGTTTTTAGAAGGTCTCTTTCTATAAGTCTATAATATACAACTAAACTATTGTTGTATGTAAAGTAAAGGTTTTTAAAATGTTTAAGAAGCTTCACTTAAAATTAAATTAAAATGCAGAGCCCCCCGGACCGGTGGTCAGGACCTGGACAGTGTGAGTGCCACTGAAAATCAGCTCGCGTGCCGCCTTCAGCATGCGTGCCATAGGTTGTCTACCCCTGTTCTAGATGTTTACAAACTGATTGCTTAATTATCTGCTCCATTATTTTTCTGGGTACAGAAGTTAAGTTAAGCTGACTGGTCTGTAATTCCCTGGGTTGTCCTTATTTCCCTTTTTATAGATGGGCACTATATTTGCCCTTTTCCAGTCTTCTGGAATCTCTCATGTCTTCTTCCATGACGTCTCAAAATTAACTGTTAGTGGCTCAAATATCTCCTCAGTCAGCTTCTTGAGTATTCTAGGATGCATTTCATCAGGCCCTGGTGACTTAAAGACATCTAATCTGTCCAAGTAATTTTTAACTTGTTCTTTCCCTAGTTTAGCCTCTTCTGATCCTACCTCATTTTCACTGGCATTCACTATGTGAGACGTCCAATTACCACCAACCTTCTTGGTGAAAACCAAAACAAAGAAGTCATTAAGCACCTCTGCCATTTCCAAACTTTCAATTGCTATGCAACCTTATTCTGCTTTCCTGTGCATGCATGCATGCATGCATATATATATATATATATACACACACACACACACACACACACACACACACACAAC